TTGACAGCATCCTAAAAAGCAGAGACATCACCTTGCCGACAAAAGTCCAAATAGTCAAAGCTGTGGTTTTCCCTGTAGTGATGTATGAAAGTGAGAGCTGAACCATAAAGAAAGCTGACCGCCAAAGAATTGATGCTTTTGAATTGTGGTGCTGGAGTAGGCTCTTGAGAGTCCCCTGGACTGCAAGGAGAACAAACCTATCCATTCTCAAGGAAATCAACCCTGAGTGCTCACTGGAAGGACAGATCCTGAAGCTAAGGCTCCAATACTTTGGCCATCTCATGAGAAGAGAAGACTCCTTGGAAAAGACCTTGATGTTAGGAAAATGTGAAGGTAAGATGAGAAGGGGACGACAGAGAATGAGATGGTTGGACAGTGTCATCGAAGCTACCAGAATAAATTTGACACAACTCCGGGAGGCAGTGGAAGATAGGAGGGCCTGTCGTGCTCTGGTCCATGGGGTCACGAAGAGTCGGAAATGACTAAACGACGATACTGTACAGTCAGATGATCAGTTACACTCATGAGTGAACTGGCCCTTGAACTGATTGCAGATGCATGGAGGGTGGTGACTTTGATTTCACATTTCAGATCTTGGATTTTGCAGATTCACAGGATGGAGATCTTTCTGCTTTCTTCTGATCTGAATCAGGAACCTCCCTTTCCATGGTGAAGCATGGTACCAGCTGAACTTGATCTTTGTTGCTGTCATTGTTTTTGAATCCAGATGCTGCCAATGTTTCAAACGCAAGGTGATGCTTCATAAATTCTTGTATTAAAAAAGAGGCTGAGAGAGTAATTGACAATGTTTGCTGCTGCCTTCATCTTGTTGTAGAGTAGTAAATCAGCAAGTACAGGATGGTGAGGGGGTTGAACTTCATTTAACATAATTTTTTTCAAGAAGGCCAATCGGATGCCCTAATTTAAGCCATTACACTTCTCTCTCAAAGATTCAAGTAAATCTCCAGTAAGGATAATTTAACAAAGAAAGATCCACACCAACATTCCCTCTAATTTTCCGGAGTACTGGGCAAGGCTTCTGCCCCATGCATGTAGGATTCTGTGACTGGAAGCATATGGCAGCAACACTGTCTTGGCTGCACGGCTTAGAGGGAATCTTGATTCACATTGTATATACCTGTGTGTGTTTAGTCGTTTAGTCATGTCCGACTCCTCGTGACCCCATGGACCAGAGCACACCAGGCCCTCCTGTCTTCCACTGCCTCCCGGAGTTTGGTCAAATTCATGTTGGTCGCTTCAATGACACTGTCCAGCCATCTCATCCTCTGTCATCCCCTTCTCCTCTTGCCCTCACACTTTCCTAACATCAAGGTCTTTTCCAAGGAGTCTTCTCTACGTATATTCCTAAGAATGATTTAAAATCAGGTTTTTCAATATTATGCATACATTTCCTTTAGTCTTCTCTCAAATTCTCCACTCTTGAGTATAAAAGAACATAAGCCCTGAAGGAATATAGTTGTGCTCCTCTCCTCCTCTTCAGTTGGTTGACCAAACTCCAGCAGGAGCACATGCTTCCCTGCCCTGTCTCCTTGGCTGATCACCCATTCAGACAAGGTGGCAGGACAGGTAAATCTGTGCTCCTGCTGGGGACTGGTCAAACAGCTGAAGGAGGTGAAGAGCATGTTCTGACTAGTGAGTAGGTCATTGGCCAGGAAGGTGGGGGAAGGGAATGTGCGGCACTGTGGTGCCACATGTATGAACTGGCACGAATCTCCAAACTGAGGTTCATCCGCATCTCTATTAACAAATACCTTCCAGCTGCATGGACATGTACTTTAGTGCATTCAGTTAATCTGAAAGACACAGTTCTTCTAGGCATTTTGATTACTTTGTGGCTCCAAGCAATAGATAGTTTGAGAACATATTGAAAAACAGCCTTTACTGTTACTTTGTGTTTGGGTGAGAAATGGTTAACTGATGAAAAAAGGAGTTGGGTTCTGAGATTTTCACTTCCATGGTGTCTCTTTGTGAATAGTAGTGAGCAAAAGAGGGTATCCTGTAGAGCAGGCCGATTGCTAATGTGTGTGATGTCCACATTCAGGTTGCCCTTTGCTATGGAAAATTTGGCACCCTATTTCCCGGCAATGTGAGTATAGAAGTACTGTAGCCTGGTAATTATTATTTTTTAGGGTGAAACATAATGTTTTTGTCATTAAAAATCAGTTTGAAATAAATAGTGTGTTCACACTTCAGAGCAGGCACAGAGGATTCACAAATGTAAACAAGGAGAACAAAAATCAGTGATTTAAATTATTTTATTTAAAACAGCAGTCTTTTTAAAATTGAAATCAGATTTTTAAACTGGATTTATTTTTTAAAAGATCAAACACAAAATACTACACTTCTCTTGATCCTTCCTGAAAAACAACTGCTAAAACTAGATCCCATCAAACATGTGTGTCAGATCTATTCTTACAGCTTCCTGAAAACCAATTAATGACTTTGTCAAACTTACATTCATTCAGTTGCTTAAAATCAGACATGGACAGTCATTTAAGCTTTTCATTGAATGAAAATGGTTCTAATTTTCCCAGCATTAACTAAGGATTACTCACTCTTCTTCAGCTTCTGGACTTTCATTTTTTGTTTCTCAGTGGCTAAAATTACATGACGCATAAAGACACAGGCTAAGCGAGAACGTGCTCATGGCCTAAGCAAGGCAGACAAATTAGGTAAAGCAGAGAGAAAACACAGGAAAGGATAGAATTGCCATATGTATCCACCTCTCTAGATCTGACTCTTCTGACATGATACCCAGTGCCCATTTAGCTCATCAGCTGGCCCAGAAGCTTTCATTTTAAAGCTATCCAGCAGTTATTTATGCATATGTATGTCTAGGTGTATGTGTATATGTCTTACAAAATAAAATGAGTCTTACATTTTAGTAAATGACAGTTGGATGACTCAATGGTTTAGGGATCTGGCTGCGGAACCAGAGTTTGGGAGTTCTATTCCCCCATTTTGCCTCCTTGACATAGGCTGGACTCAATGATCCATAAAGGCTCTTCCAGCTGTGCAGTTCTAAGATGTTGTTGTTGTTATTGTATTATTATTATTATTATCATTATTATCATTATCATTATCATTATTATTATTATTATTATTATTATTATTATTATTATTATTATTATTATTATTATTATTATAAAAATATGCAGAGGAAACTGATATAACTGTGCTTATTGAGAAGCAGAAACTGGCAACATTACATTTCCAGTATCCCACAGCCAACCTGGTCAGTGACTATTGTGGCTAGATTCTGAATGATGTACTGTAGTCTGAAAAGGCTTGATTATGAATCTCATTCCTTACAATAATATAGCTCAAGAGTAGTGAAAACCAACCAACCATCCAGCCAACCAACCCACCAATCCTCTCACCACACACACATGAGAGAGGGGTTACAAAGGTGTATATTGGAGTTGTACTTGCTTTTACATGTGTGCACATGTAAGAAGGGGCGAGGGGGGAGAGAGATCAAATACAGCAAAGAAACTTAAGCTATGATGTTTTCTGGTTCAGATAAAATACTGACTTGGAATCTCTGAAGGAAATGACACCTTTATTTCTTCAGGTTCCTCTCACATTACCTAGCATTTTTTTTGCCTGTAAATAAGATGACCTTGTGTCACACAGTGTGATTCCTCAGTAGAGAAGTTCTGTTTGTATATAGGGGATTAAGTGTTAGGGCTGTGAGTTAGTCAGTGCTGTTAAGTTTAAACTGTCAGAGTTTGGGAGTTAGCCAGAGTTTGGAATTTTGAATGAGAATGATCTGTTTGTGAATAAGAGTGTGAACAGAAGTGTGGTCTTGTTAGTGCTTGTGTTTTATATTATATTACAGATATCATGACTATAACTAGCAGATAGTGCTATGAAACATGTTTTACAGTGTCACTAAAATAAACAAAGCTGTGTTGCACCAAAAAAAATCCACTTTAAAAAATAGTGGTGTGATGGTCAACACTTACCTGTGACAGTGTTACAGCAGCCGTGTTAAAGGGTTTGTTCGGGTTGGGGACAGGGGTCGTCCAAGAGGAGAAGCCCCTGTTTACAACTTTAAATTGCACTCCAACATAGTGCAGATTGCCATTTAATTGGCAGCACATATGGGCAGAAAAGGTGCATCTTCCCTCTCAAAGGCCTTGACTAACCCTACAGTTTGATGCTTCTTTCCCATTGTCTTCCTCTGTGCCTCCACCTCTGCCTCCTGCTTTCCATCACTAAGTCCCAAGTATTCACTTCTGCCCTCCCACCTTTTTCCCACCATCACCGATCTCATTTTCACTAGGCCCAAGGATTAGCTTTTATTGCTGCCATGATTATTTTCACTGCTTGGTTATTTTGAACTATGAAGGGATAGTTACTCTCCAAACTGCACTTGAATGTTCACCTCACCTTGGAAACTGCTTTCCTGGGATTTCTTTGCAACCTACTCCTTTAATCAAAAAACAAAGCAAAACAAAACTCTGGATAAAATATATTATGACTATTTAAGGATATTTAAACATATTCTGGGGACGTGTTGGCACTGCAGGCTAAACCGCAGAAGCCTGTGCTGCAGGGCCAGAAGACCAGCAGTCGTAAGATCGAATCCACGCGACGGAGTTAGCTCCCGTCGCTTGTCCCAGCTCCCGCCAACCTAGTGGTTCGAAAGCATGAAAATGCAAGTAGATAAATAGGGACCACCTCGGTGGGAAGGTAACAGCGTTCCGTGTCTAAGTCGCACTGGCCATGTGGCCACGGAAGATTATCTTCGGACAAAACGCTGGCTCTATGGCGGAAACGGCGATGAGCACTGTCCCCTAGAGTTGAACACAACTGGACAAAAATTGTCAAGGGGAACCTTTACCTTTAGCTTTACCTTAAGCATATTCTGACTCACTGATTATGAGAAAAAGAAGGTGCATTTGATAAGTAACTTTTCTCTCACAGTTCATCTATAAATTATCAGCATTATTTCACAATACACAGGAACTTACCTGGCTCTCCTCGCCGTCCAGGCTTTCCTCGCCTTCCTGGTGGACCTATAATATAGAAAAAGATCTATTAACATAACATCACGATAGGATAAACTATAGACAGGAATGTGCTGTTTAAATAGATGCAACTGTATGTACCATACACAAGGAGATTTCCCCTTGCCCCTCCCTCAGGGTCAATTTACAGGGTGTACAGTGAAAACGATTTAGTGCTTTCTGCCTCATTACAATGGAAAGTATCTTGCTTGCAATCACTAACAGTAACACCTTGCTGACTAGTGGCTTGTCAGATTCCAGCTGCTTGTTCTGCCACCCAGAAACAGACACCTTGCAGCTAATCAAGCTTGCACTTACATGAGGAAGTACTGAATTTCTCCTTATTCAACTTCAGAAAACGATCAGTGAGTCTTCATTTAAACAAAATATTCTTTCTGCAAACTTGTCTGCCAGCTTTTATAACAGTGCCTGCCTGTCTCCTTGTCTCTGTTCAGATTACATTACTGGAAACAACATAAAAAGATTAAGGCTATCAGGTATTTCTGTTCTATAAAATATTTGTTAAATTTTAAAAAGAGGTTTCTACATATATGAAAAAGAGTTATTAGTCAAGGTCTGGAGATCCCACTTGAAGTACACATCACACTTGTTAACTGTCTGTCTGGACTGCATTATTCTCCTGAATGCCAATGGAGAACTCCACTTTCACATACTCTGAAGAACAATCTTTACAAAGAGAGGACAGAGTGCTGTCCTCTGAAGATGACAGCCACAGAGATTGGCGAAACGTTAGGAAGAACAACCTTCAGAACACAGCCAAAGAGCCTGAAAAACCCACAACAACCAATCTTTACAAAACTTAGAACTCTTACTCCTTTGGACTACAATTACCAGAATCTCCTCATTAGCATCTCATGCTCCCTGGGCAACTTTGGGAATGGCAATTCAAAAAAGTAACTTTTCCAAAACTCTGTTCATAATATACTCTTGGAAAAATCACACCTCAAAGGATCCCAGGAACTGAGGATTGTATTCTAAGTTTGCAAACCCTATTCATAACATACTTTTAGGGGAAACCACATGTGTGCTTACAGTGCAACAGTATAAGCCTGCTTAAAGAGGGTACATAGCACAGAGGTCACCGTACTCATAATAGTTTTCCTCTCCCCTCTTCTAAACCCTAACCATGCTAGAAAATGACGTCTGCAAAATTTTATAGTTGTGCACTGCCAATGGATTTCTTTTTAAGGAATTGTGTGAGCTTGCCTTGTGTAGCCCAATCCTGTGTTGCTGCACTGCCACTTTGAGCTGGGATCAAATCACACCACCAAGATGATGATCCATATACAATCTGCTTTTATCCGGATAGCACTTCATATATGGATTGAGGTGGAATTTTTTCTAAGAACTGAATTTCTTAATTTTTTTACATTTACATTTAACGACTGAATGGCTTTGGGTTTCTAGTAAGTTTATCCTCTTAACAGAACTACTGCTAGATTTGTGTTCAGCCTCTGAATTTGGGTAAACACAAAATATAGAGCAGGGGGCAGGGGTTGGAAAAAATGCAAAACGCTTCGCATACAGTCATGATTAAAACCAGCTCAGTTTTGGACATTATACACAGTATCAAGCCCTGGAAAAGAAAAGAAACACACACCCCTTTCCCCAATGCCAGTGAGACACTTGGCTGAAAGAGAAAATGACTGGTAAGTGACTCCATATGAAAGACAGCTATTTTAAACAGAGAGGGAATATAGCTGCCAGTTGGTTAAGACTGTTCTTCAGAGATTTTTAGACAAATCATGGGCTTCTTGTTCAAAAAGAGGGAGAAGAAACCAGGCCTGGGAATGGAAGTGGGTGGCCTGTTGGAGCCAGACATCATAAGGGAAGTTTGCAAAGACTCTCATTGGAGGTTTGCAAAGGTGGTGGAATGCACAATATATAGGCACCAAAAATAACAAAGATAAGCTTACAGGACTTTGAGGGCATTCATTTATTCATTCATTCATATTATATATTTATTACTACACAAACTGATATAAAACAACAATGGAGTATCAAACATCATGAAAAGAACTCAACTATAAAAAACATTATAGAAATGATCAAACAATTAAAAAACATCCTACAATTCACTCTAAATAACAACTAAAACATTTGCATTGGCATTAATCTGATGACATTAGGTGGATTAGGTGGCTCCGGACCTGGCATATTTGGAAGTGCCTGCCAAAAATAACCAGGTCTTCCAAGCTGTCTCAAGTACCCAGTGAATAGGGCCAGGTAAATAGCATATCTCGTAACTGATTCTAAGGCTGAAGACTGGTATCTGAGAAAGCCCAATTTCTTGGTTTTTTTTCTTTGCAGGCCTCTCTTGGGGTTGCTATCCTCAGCTGTCCTGCCTGGGAAGTATGAGTAAGATGAGTAGTCCTTACAAATAAGGAGAGAACTTTTCCAAGGTCTGATTTTAATTACTGGTTTGGTCTGCATTTATTTTGCTTGTTTGTTGGTGACGTGACAACCCTGTTAAAGCCCTAAAGCATCAGAAGTGATGTATCGTCCCAAATGTCAATTACAAATCCCAGCTTGATTCCTACATCTCTCTTGAAGGGAGTCTTAAAATGAAATTAAATGCAGTATATGATCTCTTATTTGAAAACTGAGGCATCAGAGTAAAGGTTGCCATGTTTGGGACTCCACCCCACACTACAGACAAATCCCATTATGAATAGGTTCAGAAAAATATAAAAGGGAATTTTACCCATGTGCTCCATTAGCAAACTCCAAAAGCAGAGTAGGGCAAGACTTTATTGATCATTAAAAAAAAACAACTTATTTCAAATGAATCTTGCGTCTTCTATAACGCTTTGTCAGTAGTGCACTGCAGAACTTGGGAAAGGTGGAAGAAGCCAGATTTAATTAGTGTTGGGAGCTTTGGCTATTTAAGCTTCAAAATGGAGACAACAAGCTTGCAGAGTTAGATGTGTTGTATTATCAGAGTACCCAAATGTAAGTGTGAGTGATACCTTTTATTGGACCAATATAAATCCTACAAATGGTAAGCTTTCGTGGAGGAAACCTCATTTCCTCAGGCCACTGTAGATAGTGCAAAAAAAATGTAGACAAGAGTCCAAAAATTGACATTACATGTCTGAAAGGTGATTCAAGTCTTCGGATCACCTTTCAAGTATGTAAAGTATGTATTCTCAAAGGCTTTCATGGCCGGGATCTGATGGTTGTTGTAAGTTTGGGCGTGTTCGGAAGGCTGTTGTTCCTAACAGTTTCTGTGGCTGGCATCTTCAGAGGACAGGATTAGAATTCTGTCTGTGTTCTGTTGTAGTTTGTGGGACAGTTGAGAATTTAAATACTCACGTAAATAAATACAGCCCAAAAAACCTACAACCACAAGTAAAGTATATCTGTAATTCTGCTTCATCTCAAGGCAGAGAGGAACTGCAGGCAAAAATTCTCACAGGCACTCCATGCATGCGCTAACTTTCACATGTGTCCCCAAGCCTTGAACACACATGGATGGGCCCTTATGTGGGGGACAAAAACAGGGCCCTGAATATCACACCAGCTCCTTAAAAAATGAAGCTGAAGTCTGTGATTTCCCATGTTCTGATAATCAGGTTACATTTCATGGTTAAGATCACATTTAAAAACAAAGAAATAATTACTTGGGAAAGCCTTGTCATACCTAAGATGTATTCATGGATTTTAATACAAGCTTGATAGTCCATGAGTTGTATAGTTCTTTAAAAAAAAAAAAACAAGCTTAAAACTAGACAATTGACAATAATTTGACTGATTATGTAAGTAGATCACATCCTCCTGCACCTAATAGTGAAAAGCAATAAATGGATACAATGTAACAACATTCCATTAAGTAGCTCTGAAAGTATTTTGTCAAAAAAGTATCAATGGACTAAACAAACGGAGTGTCTAAAGCTAATCCTCGCAAGGCATTCACAAGCAATCAGGAAAGGAAGTGTATTCATGAACCACTTTGTGCTAAAGCCATGTGCCCAAAAGGTCAAAACATATCAATTACCTGATGAGGCTTCTCTGAGCTATGAGACAGGAGCTAGATTAGTTCTAATTGCCCAGCCAGCATCTGGAATTGAAGGGGCATGAAAACTACCAGTGGTTAATACTGCATGTTTGCAGTGATTTGAGGGAACGGGCCAAACATTCACGGTAGGGCTAGAAACCTAGATTAAAATGGAAAGAAATCAGTGCACTGATATCTCTCCCGAGTCTTCCACAAGCCACCTCATACTTGGGTGGCAAATTGTTACCAGATACCTGATTGGGGTTATAATGCCACTCTCTGAAGGATACTTGCCTCATGAGGCTAGTCCTTCTTTTATTCTCCCCTACGTCTGTCTCGTGTGGTCACTATTATTTTTATTTCATTGAAGGGTCACTGGGGCCACACACTAAGGACAGCATGTGGCTGGATTTGACTGAAAGCTTCAGACTTGGAGTCAGAACTAAACAGTCTTTGTAGGAGGTGACTTGACTTTTTTTTAAAAAAGTCTTGTCCGTTTCAACTTCTCTAAAGGTTGACCTGCTCATGAGAAAGGACAAATGATAATATCTGCCTATATTTCCCTACAGCAGATGTAAACTAGAATAGCAAAACCACTACAACTAATGAGTGCATTAATTGTTATGATCATCTGGGAACTAAATATATTTCCTAACTGGGGAAGCGGGAATGAAAACAGCCAGGCCAAATGGGTACAAAATGCAGCAAACATGCTGCATTTGTGACAATTCTGTGTTTATATTTAAACCTTACAAAAGATTGCCAAATAGACTGACCCCTTTTTTTGTAGGCAGGCAATGTGTGGCATCGAAGTCGTTATTGACTACATTCTGGAGGGAAAGAGGCAGAACATTTACTTATGTACTTGTTCGTTTGTTTGTTCGTTTATTCATATGCTACCTTTCTCCCAATAGGGGAATCAAAGTAGCTTACAACAATGATATCTATACAATACTCACAGGTTTAAATACTTGATAGATAGTATTCATAA